TTTCTATTGTGACTTGTGATTTCCAGCCCATTAACCAATTAAGTTGCCTACGTGTTAATTCAAGCTGCTGGTGCTTTTTTAGAATATGTTCATGCCAGGTTAGTCTTCTATCCAAATGTATTCCCTGATATTTAACTACATTGGATATAGGAACCAAATCACCATTCAATCTAACAGGGGGGCATGAACCTTGCCGTAATGTAAAAGTAACGTGAACTGATTTAGAGTTTAACTTTTCTATATCATCTACATGTTTTTGTAGAATTTCCGAGGCAAGCAATTGGTTGTCATGTTGAGCTAGAATTCCCGTATCATCTGCAAAGGTAGCAATCATGGTTTCTGCATTTGTAGGTATATCAGCAGTATATATAATGTAAAGCGGCGGACCAAGAACACTACCTTGGGAAACTCCGGAATAAATACATATTTCACGTAATATTTGCATTCCATCGACTCTCGTAAGGATACGGTTTAAAAATCAGTTTCTTAAATGCAAATCAACAATATATAATAGATGTAAAGAAAAAGTTACTTTGCGGCTTTGTGAATTTGAATATACGATTAATAAAGAATGTTTTACACAAATATTCACATGCAAAGAAGCAATTTACGCGTAACGGAAATTATTAGATATGGAAATGGAAATAAATACGAGTATATAGTTCGTATATAGTTTACTTCCTATTGTTGATTTTTAAATATCAGTAAGCCTATCTAAAAATTGATGGATTAAATTCAAATACTTCTGTTTTTTATAGGTACATCTTAGAAAAAATGGATGTTAGGCCAACGAGTAGTGGTTTAATTATAAAAAATAATTTAAGTTTTGAAAAATAGTTACAAGTATGGCACTGTGTTTTAAATAAGAAATTACCAATATAAAATAATTTGTAAAACAATAATCATGTAAGTACAACAGTGACATGGTGATGATATGTATGTTAACAATGAGCTAAACAAAGAAAAAAATCTAAATTGTTTTAACAATGACAATGATTAAATATCAATTTTCGTACGATAATCATCATTCTATTCTGAATTTATTTCTTGCACAACATGCCTTATCAAATATTTACATTGAAAATAATGCCATAATTACGAAATGCCTCCCACATTTCTTGAACTATTTCTTAGTCTTGAAGAGTAAGTTGTTCTTCGCCCTTGAAACTGATTCACAAAGAATTTCGTAGCATTGAACGATATATGACACAAATAGGCAATAAAAGTCTTGAAACGCGAGAAAATGAATCCATTGTGCAAAATTGCACAAGTCATTTTTTGCATATTCATAAGAATGAATAAGAACGTGAATGAACTTAAAACCACAAAAAAATTAAACGAAGTGATAAAACAGTGGCTGCAATATAATGCAAAATCCCTATCTACTCAAATATCTTAATTTTTATTAAAAAAAAATTAAAATAAAAAAGTAGACAAACTGTGCACAGGTGGTTCAAATATTTTACACTAAAAGTTTGCAGCAGATTTTTCCAAATAAGTTTTCCTTCCCTAAATTTGCTGATGCTACCTTGTACTAAGTATTTTTTACTTTTCAAGTCAATTCAGATCAAAGCAACAAAAATTAGTCATGCAAAATTTAATGTTTTCATTCTTATATCGAGAAGTACACCAAAACATTTTCTACATCTTGGACAAAATCTAATTCTCTCCAAAATTTTTACTCCAATCAGACAAATAATGACTACTCTTATTTCTTCACAAGTAGTTTCATAACTGTTTCTTTAACAGTTGTACTTTTAATTGTAATTTTACCTTGTTAATACACCTTGAAATTATTACAAAATAGAGATCAAACGTGCACCATATATACATTACATATAATGTGTGAGATTTTACGAAATTGGCTTCGAATTTACAATGTGATTTTTTCGTCTGCCGCTTTATATTCATATAATGAATTTAATTAAGACATAGAATTACTATAATTGAAGTGTTGAAATAATATAATAATTTTATTAGTTGTTTCCTAATTGTATAATTTTATGGACGATATATTTGGCAATCGATAATCGAGCCTAAAATTAAATTTGAAGAAGTATTCGGCCTCAGAAAATTATAATGAATTATATAGATATTTTTGAGCATTTTTCCAGTTAGATTAGCGGTTAAAACTATGAAAGTTCTATTAAATTTTATACCAAGAAACGTTTTCGAAAGCTATGACTGAAATAAATTAATCAACAATAAATCAGTACTCATTTTGCTCTATCTGTATATTTGATCCAAATGTTGACCCCTCATGGGCTGAGAACGTAAACTAGCACAAACTAGTCCTGGATTTGATTCCAACCTCGGCCTGCTCGATATCAAGCAGTATTTCAAATATCTAATTGAGGTTATGTATCTCACCTAAAACAAGTATGGGCTATCAACATGATGTAGTAAAATTGTGTCTGATAGTCTATACCCATTGGAAATTTAGAAAATGAAAAATAAAAAAAACATTTTATTAGCAACACTCCTAGATAAAAATTCGTAAAACTCAACCCCGTGCTTTTTTGGCTATGATTTGTTAAATTAGTATGGCAGGTCCATAGACCATGGTAAGTAACTGTAAACGTACAAACAAATACATAAACTCAAGATAACCTCAAAAAGAAAGTAACGACGACTTTTACGACTAAGATAAATAACGATTGCATATAAATACGTATACATCTTCGTAATAAACGTACAAAATTATTTCCGACGACATATTTCAGTTTACGATGTTGTCCGTTTCCGAACTGCTGCCCCTATGATAAGAAGAAATACATAAGAATCTTCTTGGAAAAGGAAAGTGGTCAGACGTGTTGTATTCAGTTCCATCACCTACCAAGATGATACTAAGGCGAAAGCATACGGTTGCTTTATTTTCACCTTTGCACAGAGAAAGATCATTATTGGCGATCCCATAATTTATACAACTGGATTACGTCAAAATTCTCGGAAGCGACAGACTTAATAAATATTTAGTTATCGATCATTGGCCAAAAATTAAACTACAAACATATACCACTTGTACCACAACGATCTTAGATTATTATATTTACTACTTCAAAATTATAAACTAGTGATAAACTATTGAGAAATTCGTGATTTATACAACTGGATCACCTCAGAAATATCGTAAAAAATGTGAAAATTTAGGTTTCTTAGGTTTATTGCTAAAAGTATCAGGAAAATTAGAGCAAGCATAACAAATACTACTACTTATTTTTCAAAGTATCAAAATTATGAAACCCTTGAGTAATAATAATGATCAAATTTGGTCAAAACTAGAAAAACTAAGTCAAAGTTCTCATAAGAGTGTTGTGACCAGAAATTTGAATAATCAGGGTTGCCACAATTTATATGACATATATTGCTCTACACACGATACTCATAATTTTAAAAACTTGAAAGATTATTATTTCCAAAATTATAAAGGATTAAATACAGTCCCCGAAATTGATGACAAACATTACTAAAGTTCTTTATCGATGAAAGCCTTCTATAAGAGGAGAAGACCTGAAGACATTACTTATTGGTTGTTTTTTTTTTATTTTTAAATGTAAATTGCTTAACTACTTATATAAGATCGTTTCCTACAATTTTGCAATTAGCTAAGACAAAAGGTCATAAAACATCAAAGCATATGAGTTAACTTTTTTTTATCTTAGTTTTATTTGATAGTTGTAAGAAAGCTCGTTAAGCTCACTCGAGAATAGATCTATTAATATGATTTATTATGATCTTAGTTGCTTACTAACAGCGTAGTTAATTATTTGTGTTAATTACAATTTTACTGCTATACATAAATTGACTATATAATCGGATACCTATTAATAATATTACGCCTGTCTAATCGAACAAATGAGCTTTTTAGGCTAAGCAAGTAGAAAAAATGCATTTTACCAAATTTCTATTATTTTGTGCATAGCATTTATAAAAGTCTTTAGATTGGCACCTATAAAATTATTTTTAGCATTTTTTATTTATGGAGAAAAGTAAAAAGTATCTTTATCAGTGCAATAATCATCTCAATGCCATAAAGAAATTTTAATTTATTAAAAGTTGTCACAAAGAAAGTTATTCCGTTCCGAACGACAAAATGGTGAACCGACCGCATTGAAAAACGTGTTTGACTTTATTTTACATCACAAGATTGATTGATTGATGATTATAGTGAAAATGAATCACTTAGTTGTTTCGACAGCAATTGATTTATATGATTTTATAAATTATTAGTCCAGTCGTGAGAACCAAAAATGATGTTCCTAAAGATGTACTTATTTTCTCTGTTCCAAATGTAGATTTGCAACTGATTATTGCAAGTCTATGAAACTATAAATCAAAGCAATGATACATGCAAACTTATATAGCAAAAATGTAATAAATCAATGCTCGAACTTCAAGCATTTTATATACAACTAAATCAACCTAACAAATATCCTCAAATCAAGTTATTACCCTACCAATTGCAATCAATAACTAGGAAAAATATATTAGTCATTTGAAATAATTTATTTAATCACATAAATCTATTCTTCCGTATAACGATAAAATCTGTTACAAGTGTCGGGATGTTAAAACATTACTTTTAATTTATTGAAAGTGTTGTATAACAAGAAGTGTTGAGTTGCATTACATATCATTTGACATGCATTTCCTCGTGTCCCATGAAATCATTGCCTGGAGATCGTAATTATGGTCAGAAAATACTCCGGAGCGACTATTGAAGTATAATCATTAGGCAAATATGGGTAAAAATAATAAGTAAGATTGAGATACTGTAGAAACAATCTCTTTGGCAATAATATAGCTATTAATATGTAAATTTACATTGCTCTTTGGTTGATGCTCCTAATAACTGTAGTCATTAAGACCTAGAAAGATACTGAACAAAAAAATGCCCGTAGAATTATTTTGTATAAAATATTGAAAAAAATAATTTTATTTGAAATGTATTTTTAAATTACTATGATATTTTTCCCTAATATTTTATTTCTTTTATTTAGGTCATTTTCCTGGCGTTGCTGGTGGCTTGTACCACTGCCAAGAAAGTTCCCAAAGGCATCTCCAAAGCTGACAAAGAATTTTTACGCGCAGTCGAAAAGCAGTTCCAGTTATACGGAGATTCCTTAAAAATCCAAGTCAAAAGAGAGAACATTACATCAAGTGAGCCAGGAAAAGGAAAAAGAACTGTCGAATCCAGCTATGGTTATGGTTTCAATGGAGGATCCCACCAACAAAACAGTTATCACTTCTCACAACCAAAATTTGAAGTGTATCCTTACTCTCAGCATGATCTAGTGCCCCAAGCACATCATATTGAAGCTTACAAAAGGTTGAATCATGGATTTAATTTGCAGCAGAACCATGGAAGTGGTTATAGCACACATTCTCAAATTCAGGACTTTGGTGGACACCAATCGCATGGTGGGCACCAATCATATGGTGGACATGAAGATCAAACTGTACCAGTTATTGTTCTTCGAGTTCCTGGTCCACCAGCCTACGCTGCACATTTGCAAGCTTTGCTGCAAGCCTATATTTTATCTAGGACTGAACAATTGAGACAACAACACAGAACTTTATCACAAAGTTATGGTACCCCATTAGCAGCACCGTTGTCTCATTATGAACCAAGTCATAAACAGCACGTGCAAGTTCATAATGTGGAACAGTCAAACCAAGTTCTTGAACAACACGAAGTGCAGCATCCCGTACAACAATCCAATCATTATTTACCAGTACAGGAAAACCATCAACAGAAAGAAGTAGTTCAGTACTACCAAACCCAGCAACAAGCTCATGAAGAACCAAGTGCTGAATATGGAGTTCCAGAGCAACAAGTGCAATATGTTGATCAAGGCGAAGAACAAGTCCACCAACCTCATAATCAACAATACACTCAGCAAGAACAAGTGCAATATGTACTTCCACAACAAAACTATGCTTTACAATACGTTTCAGGACACCACCATCAAGCTTCTAGTTTACCAACTAACGAAAATTATCCATCAGAAAGCCATACCCAGGTAATATTTCCAACTCACCAACAATATTTAGCAACAAGACCTAAATACGCCTACGTCCATCATGACATCTCTGGTACCCATGAAGAACCTCCAGCATCTCCTGCTGCTCAATACAGGGAAAGCATGTATTTGCCTCATGTTGGTGGAGAAAAAGGTCCTTATAACTACCATGCCCATACCCAACAGGATGCCCAAGGATCTGAACGAGTTTACTCAAGGGAACAATATAGGAAGTATAATCAATTGATAGCAAAACTACGGCGGGGTTTGACAACAAAACAACAATAGATTTAGACCAAGTTTTTTTTGAGAAATTATGTACGTTTGAGGATTGATGTTTTTGTAAATATATTGTGTATGCATGAGATATGCTTGGAAAAATGATGATTGAAAGTATTATTATTGTTTATGTATTATATTTTACTCACGTTGACTTGGTCAACAATTTTGCTACTGTTGCTTCACAAAATTTATGTTTAAATAATTATTTGAAATATTAATTTGCTTACGTGAATTGATAGATGTACCATAATTTGACGATGAGGAACTTGCATAAAAATTGAATAGATCCTAATTTAACTTTGTACATAAAAACAAACAAATATCAAGCAATGTGGTTAAAACTAAAATTATATGATGACACTTATTAATTATTATTAGATGTATCAGTTTATTTTTTTAGATTAATTAACTCATTCTCATTACTTAAAAAATATCAACAATATCAAAATACTTCAGTAATTATATTTTGATACGATTTTTTTTTTGAAGTTTTTCTTCATGAAAATGTTATATTTTAAGTGCAATTGTATTTTTGATACTCCCGAAACTATGTGACTGTTTATAATAAGTGCAATATATTTTATGTATTTAATTATTTCTTTTGAAAGAAATATAAATGTGCTATTTTTACAATATAAAATTATCATGTATAAATTAGCAGTATATTTATTAATGAAATTGAAATACTTGTTCAATTAAATTTGTTTTAAAATAATGTAACTTTATTTTATAGCAGGAGAAATTCAGAACAGTTGCTGCTTAAAAAAATAAAAATGATGAATTTATAGTTAGAATTAAAATTAGCATGCAAATAAATTTAGGAATTAGTAATTAATTTTAGAAAAAGTATTTTTTTTAAAAACAAATAGTTGCGCCTATATTAATATGATAATTATGATACTACAATAAAATCAAGAAACGAAAAGGTAAGTTAATTTTTCACCATAATAAGAATTTTTGCTATAAAATTATATTTTGTTAAATTGTTGATATTTTATGAAATTTACTCTTTATAATTTGGATTTTTATAAGGAGACTTTAAGCGTTTTTTTAGTTTAAATAAGAAATTTCTTATGCCCTGTCTTTTGAATTTGTTGCAATACTCAAAATAATTTCTATTAAAAGGTGAATGCAAAATATAATTTTTTTAAAAACCGTCTACCTTTATAAGTAGATACATGAAAATAAATTTGGTAATAGTTTTAAATATATCAATTAAATAGATTTAATTTTGTCAAATTTGAACTCCACAATGGGCTACAACAGTGAACTCTAAAAGGTTGGTTCCACAATTATTAATTACCAAACAGATAAAGATAATTTCACCTAGCTAAATATGGTTATTATTAAAAAAAAAATCTTTCCTAAATATGACAAAAATTATACTGCAAAACACATTAGAAATTAAATCACGGGTCAACGTTGTGGTCATCAAATATCAATCAGCAAAGAATTGAAGCAACCAATACTCAGAGTAATTTTTCATCTACTCCAATTTATTTATCTGTTTTCTTAGCAAAAGTGCATTAACTGTCAAGATTGTGAAAGCTGTTGCCAATGTTGACCAAACGAAATTTTCTTACAATAGCAAGTAAACACTTTGCGTGATGACTTTAGATATATTATTGCAAGAAAGGGAATTTTCATAAATTAATTACTTGAAAACACGTTTGAAGTTCAGTAGCGAGTAAAATTAAACATGCATTTGCAACTAAGCTTACAATAACAACTATAATTATTTTTATTTTTTAATTGTCAGATGGCTATTAATTTTAGCCATCAGAAATAAGGTACTGATGCAGAAGATAAAAACATTGTGACTGAGCATCCTAATATTTCTAGGCTATTAGTATGTTCAGTGTCCATGGTTTTATTTGATCTATAAAAAAACATTTAAATCTATTCTAAAATAAATAAATATTTAAGGAAAAGTCACTCAGGGTATGTACGACAGAAAAGTATATGGCATGTAATATAAAGTCTTATCGCATTTTCTAGGTACATTACAATGTAATGTCCAACTATAACTTATATAATTACTACTGATTGAGAAGTAGATTTTTTTACAATTACGCAACTAATTATATTCAAAATGTCGTCAATTTAATTTTATACAAAATTATAATTAATGTGCCTTAGAATCGATAATGTGCATCAATTTGATTTAAATGCGGAACCAATAAGTTTATAGTTTTGTAAGCAAGTCGGCCAAACTTCCTAGCAACTGATATGAATGTCTAGAATGTATTATTATTTTTACTAAGTTTATCTTTCTGATAAAACAAACATGCAAAACTTTAGACAAAGAGCCTGTAGAAAAAAAAATCGGTTTAATCCAAACCATTTAATAAGTTGTTGAAACAGTTCAACAAATTCTGTCAAAAACTAAACAACTAAATTTACTCAAAGCTTGATTACAAAATAAATATATAACTATAATTTTTAAAAAGATGATGTTGAGATTGCAACCAAATTGGATCATACGACCATTAATTTCAAGTAACTAAGGAAACTGAACAAAATTGAATTTATCAGTAAGTTATATAGAACTATTTTTGCTCCATACAAATTTTTATCTACAGGGTGTCCCGGAACCATCAATCCAAAACGGCTGATAGTACTGACCCCAATTGACAAAAAAAAAATAAGATTTTTTTTTATGTTATCTGAATATTATGCGCTTTCAAGTACAACAGAGCTTTGGTGAAATTATGACTAGTTTTTGATTCTTGTGATTAATTTTTATTAGTTTTGTTCATTTAAACTTTGGAATCACAACTTTGAATAATTATTACTTTTATTATTTATTATGAGTAAAATTTCCATTAAATATCTGTCTACCAAAAGAAATGCATTTTCCGGCATCGCTTCTTCGACAAATCGGATTTGTTGATCGGCAAAATGCAATTTTGTCTTTCTCTTTCCAGCACGAGAAATGGTTTTCGCATATGTGAGAAAGAAAGGGAAAATCAAACGCGATGCATTTATGCAGGTGCAGTTCACTACTATGAAACGCTTTCGCCCTCCATCGTAAAATTTAAAACATATATAAAACAGGGTAAAAAACAACAGCTAATAGTATTGATGAATTTATAGTGTTCATCACTAGAAATTGTATAAAATTGTGGATCATAAAAAATAATAGTTTTTCAAGTGATTAGGTACATTTTAATCTGCAAGTGTTTCTTATGATTTTATGACTTTGAAGTGGTGTTTAAAGTGATCATAAAGTCATGAAAAATGTAAATAAATTTTAGGTACAGTGTGTAATTTGGTATAAGACATTGATTAATTATATTGACTGAGATTTATTGTTCTAATATTGATTTTGTTATTGTAATTTTAATGTGCACAAGCTGGAATTTAACTGAAACTGGATTATATTAAAGTATGAAGATGTATTTTGAATTGGTAAGTGAAAAATTTAATATTTTGAGAAAATGCAATACCATTCGAAATGCAAATAGAAATTTTTTTATTATAAATTATATGTTGGATTTGAATAATATTCAAGATATGTGATTAAATAATATTAGAACTAGAGTGCTATATAAAATTACATGAATTTTTGAACTGATGTCAACTTACATGCTCCAAATGAGTCGAAATATATCAAAATAAAAAATAAATTTTGTACTGTAATTAATTTTTAATATGGAAAATACATTTTCCTAAAAAGTAAAAAAAAAATCTATTTGTTTATCCAATACATCTGAATTATTATGCACTAACTATTATTATTATATTACATAACTAAAAAATTATTGATTGAAATATAAAAAGCATTTGTTTTCACATCAAGTTTGAATTAAGCTAGAATTTAAATGTAAGTTGTTTTTGACTTAAAAAAGTTACGAGTAATTGTAATAATAGGTTTTTTTATTACAAGCATTTTTTGTGCATAATAAAATAAATATACAGTTAACTATATCGATATTGAATAAATTTTAGCAAAAATTGATAAAAAACGAACCAAATAATTTTTTGTATTAGAATTTTATTTCTATATCACTATAATCATTAAATACATACTGCAAATAAATTTATTCAAAACAATTAAATGCATTTATTTAAATTAATTGGTCTTTTCCACTGACTAATCACATGGATATATTTTTTTTAAAGTAATTGGTTTCTTCTGATAATTTTCAGGTTGGCATTTTCTCCTTACTAACGATTATTGCATGCGAGCAAGATCGGATCAGAAGACGTCCATCAGTAAATTCCCAACTAGACAATATTTTGAAAAATAATGAACAGCAATGGCTTTCACACTTAAATTCTCAAACCAAACAAAATAATGGTGAAACTAACTCATTTGTGCAATCGTTGGAAACATTGGAAAATGCACCGAGTGCAGAAGACTATGTAATCAGAGCTTTAAAATTGCATAACAAAGATTTAAATCCGAGTTTATACTCCCTTCCACCAGAATTTACTTCTGCAAGGCACACTAGTACGTTGAATTTACATACTAAACCGGAAGGTAAAAATGAACAGTCAAAACCATATAATAACGTGATAAATGCTGCTCCACATAAACCACTTTCAACGAATCAAGATTCGCCGATGGAGCATAAAACAAATCATTATTCTTTAATTGACCATTCGAAAAAAATATTTGATCATTTATTTAAATTAACACATTCAAAGCTGCATCATGAAGGTCTATTGCATTCGAATACACCAGAATTGAGTTCACCGCAAATGAATTTACCATCGCAAATGCATTCACCACAACAAATGCATACACCAACACAGCAAATGCATATGCCACAACAAATGCATTCACCACAGCAGATGCATACGCCACCACAAATGCATTCACCACAACAAATGCATTCACCACAGCAAATGCATACTCCGCCACAGATGCAATCACCACAGCAAATGCACACGCCGTTACAAATGCATTCACCTCAGCAAATGCATTCACCACAACACATGCATTCAACACCACTAATGCATCAACCACAAAATACTCCTCAACTAATGCAACAACAAAA